ACCCTGATTCCAACTACACCAGGTAATCAAAATAATTAAAATCCCCATTTTTTTATTTTTCATTTTCTGTTCTAGTTATGAAAATTGATTGGATTATATATTTTTGGCTAAAACAGTTTCTGTGACGAAAACCCAAATCCCAAATCGTCGTTTATCTAGTGTAGAACCATCAGAAGTTCCATCAGAATTCATATCGATTTCAAGCAATTTACAAGCTTTAGCGAAAATGGTCGAAAATGAATTTGGAAATGTTGTTGGATCTAATACTACTACTATGAATATAGATCCAAGTGTTGTGTATGAAAGGGGAAGGTTTTACGAAGAATACTCAGCAAGAAGGAATGAAAGACTTAAGAGAAAGAAAGGTGTTACAGGGCAAGAGAAGAAGAGTTCTCCTTATAGTCTTGGTGTTACTTTTGAATCTGGAAAAAAGAGGGAATCTAAGAAACTAGATAGTTTGAGGAAATCTGTTCCTGCAAACTTTTCGGTTTCGCGAACTACTGAGAGTACTCCTAGATATTCATTAAGAAGTAGTACTAAAGAAAATAAGAAGCCTCCTTTGCCATTAAACATAGAGAAATCTGTGGTTGATTCGGAACGTAAGATTGGAACAAGAAGAACTCGCAGAATCTAAATTGATGAAGAAAGGGGGTAGGGGTGTAATGTGCGCGATGACGACTCATCTTGAGTCTTTTCTCCAAGTTTTGGGAGCATAGGGTACTCAACTGTGCTGGTATTTCATATTAATTTGCGTTATATCGGATTGATTTGTATTTTTTTTTTGTTAAATTGGAATTGAAGTTAAATGGTGATGAATACATATTTACTTTCATTTTTAGTAATCTCATTGCTTTAATCTAGTTGATTTATGTTGTCTATATTTTAGCTGCGCTTTCATCCTAGTGAATTGCTATTTGCCTATATAGATCACAATGCTAATTTCATTATTTATACCTTCTAGATTAGTAGTTCAAAACTGTCTGTCAGTATGTTAATCTTAACATCTCAGTAAAATGATGGAGTTCTTCGGCAAACATCTTTTTCTGCCGTGCAAAAATCCCTTTAGTTGATGTAGGGTCTCAAGAATGTAATTTGTTTAGCAGAACACATGGTTTTGAAACAAATTCGCATGCTTGCTCCAAGACGACATATCTCATATGGAATTTGTGTTTCTGAATATCGCTCTGGACTTCCATTGATCGTATATTTAAAGTTCATCTTTGGGAATCCATGATTTTGTCTAACTAATGTAACTCCTTGATTGAAAAAGTTGAGTTCAACTTAACTCTGGAGCGTTCATAAGCAATTAGCAGTCACAGTATAAGTGCTTGACAGGATTGCAGACTGACCAGTTTCCTGTTGTATGCTTTTGAACAGGAGGATATAGCAGTGTATCTTTGAATAATTCCTTGAAACAGTGACAAAGAAACATAAACTCTAGTTTCGACCTCTTGTAAGATTTCACTAATTATCAGAGATTACATTCAACAGCTTATGCACGGCCTCAAGTATATGCGAAAATATGTTTTTCTAATCAACTTCCGGAACCAGTAGGTGCAGATTTTTGCAGTTTTCTTTATACTATTGACTCGTAAGCAAGTAACAACGGTGATTAAGGAATGGCTTTTGCCTGAGTCTTTTTGTGGAGATAGGAATTTACATCCATATGACTAGTATGATTCTGCTCAAGTAAATGTTATATGATAGTTTAAGGGACTAGTATGGTTCAGACCAGTAATTCAATTGGTCCGCGTCGGTAGACCTCTAACACCACATACTTGTATCAAACCTTATCGATGACCAAAACTCTTAAAAAAAAAAAAAAAGATGAATGAACTTATTCTGAAATAAATCGAAAACTAAGGATGGGCAGGAACTGCCTGAAAGTGTAATATGATTTTGGTTTCTGACATGCCAAATTTTTGAACTTCAAACAGCCAAACCGATATAAATTATTGTCCTACATTGAAAGGAGAGGGAAAGGTTGTTAATAAAAGAAGTTGAATTATTGAGAAAAGTGTTTTTGCGCTAGGGGCAATGACGCAGCTAGAGAAGTTATACCAAGGCGCGTCAATTGCTGACTGAAAACTGTTTCCAAGCACCCTTCTTCGGTCATGTATTTATACTTTATTTGTAGGATCAGAGTGTATGGCACTCTGTACAAATTTGAAAATCAATAAAAAAAAGTGTTAGAAATTTCATCATGTATATAAAA